GGATATGGAAGGGGAGCTGGTTCCAGAACGTGGGTCCATGGAAGTAGAAGGAGCGTTCACCGATGGTCTTAGTTTTGGTTCTTGGGATTGAGAGGGTTCTATTGTCAATGGAAGAGCGTAGTTGTCTTGTGGAGATGTAAGGATGTATATATATCTTATTTATGTGAAATTATACATTTATTCTTATGGACATTATGGACGTTGAAATTAAAAGAAACACGGCTTGGACCATAACGTCTCGGCTAATATTTATAACTTGATATAAACATTGACAGGCATATGGATGTTTTCATGAGAAGTATTTCAATACATACTTGACAGTCTTCGCCATATTAGCAGAGTTCATTTAATACTTTAAAATATTGTCAGCTAATAGCGTCACGATATCGCTAATATTGTTAATTATGGAATATTTTCAGTCTTTTTGAAATTTAGGTCAAATGTGCCTAGTCTTCATGGTCTGTGGTAAAAAATTTAGCAGATAATTTCGATCCTGAATTTTCTTTGAATGCGACAATCGTAGCAGTATATAATATCTTAAAAATTCGTAATTTAAATTAAAGCATAGTTCTGGTACGTATCTCCGGTGCGCCCTTTCTGAGTCCCACCGCACTTTTAAATCTATCAAGATTTTTTAAAATTTATTTTTATAAATGCAAAAAAAAATTAGTTAGGAGCTTTTTCAGATTTTGACTGATGGGAGTAAGCATAATATTACACTACTTGCTTGGAAATAACAAAAAAACAGACAGGAAAAAAGAAAAAACCAGGACAAATATGGTAGGATTTTCATGGGAACAAGAGTATTTGTTATTCCAAATGCTGGAAAAGGGATTTTCAGATACGTTAATGTCGTCTAAGAAAAGAGGGAACATTTGTGGCATCCCCGATGTCAGTAATTTTAAAAATTCCCGAATTATTTTGTCAAAAAGTTTTTCTTCAACTTGTATATATAGCCAAAAGTTTGCAGATCAGTGAAGGTTAAGAACATAAGAAAGAGGCACACATAATAAGGTAAGATGTCTGGAGCTAAGTTTTAATGACAATGAATTTATATATACATATATATATATATATATATATATATATATATATATATATATATATATATATTTATTTATGTATCTCTGAGTGTGGTATTATGTTTTGTCTGTGTGCGCGCGCTTGCGCTGACGATAGAGCTACACGTTAGGTGGTGATTAGCGAACAGTCTAAGGCATTTCTTGAATGTTCATGCACCGTTCGCTAGGCTGAACTTATGACTTAGACAGCCATATTCGATTAAGTAGTCATTTAGATAGACGCGTAGCAGGGCAGGCAGACACAAAGGGGGAATAGTTATTTAGATAAATGAATGAATGGGTGGATGAATAAAAGGATACACAGGTAGACAAATAAACACATGTAATAAATGATGGGTGGATAAATGGAAGGATAATGAATTGATGGATTGGTTGATATGTTTATCGATATATGGATGGCTGACTAATTAGCTTTTATACCCTTAACTGTTTGTACTTTTTATTTTCATCGGCCTAAAAGACATAATTATTTATTTCATGAGTTTAAATTCTTGTATTCTATTCATTTAGAGCAACAAACAGAAATCAGGTGTGATTATATAAAAGCTAACCGTCCATTAAACTTAATATACGTATACATTTTGAAATAAAAAAGGCAATATACAATAAAATAGTTTTAACTGCAAAACCTTTTATTTTTTCCTCTTTTTTTATATTTTACTGTTCCGGACGATAATGAGCAAAATTGTTTCATGAACTTTTTATTTTTCATAGGACTCATTTGACCCATGGCTGGTTTTTCTTCCCTTAATTATATATATATATATATATATATATATATATATATATATATATATATCTCTCTCTCTCTCTCTCTCTCTCTCTCTCTCTCTCTCTCTATATATATATATATATATATATATATATATATATATATATATATATATATATATATATATATCTCTCTCTCTCTCTCTCTCTCTCTCTCTCTCTCTCTCTCTATATATATATATATATATATATATATATATATATATATATATACATATATATATATATACATATATATATATACTACTAGTTTTTAAGTGGGTCGAAGTTGTACAGCAAAGACTGACTAGGAAGTAGTACCCACTGCCACTAGCTCGTATAAAATTATCCCTAAGGTGTGTTGCTGTCGCAGCAGACACATCCGCTAGGAGGATTGTACATTCAGATCTTATCGGTACTTGCTCTACACAAGCACAATGCAGTTGGGTGGATATATCCAGGGTTACGACATGTAATCATGCAGCCGTAACCACTTCGTTAAATAATGGCATGTCGCGCGAAACGGTGCAGCTTCATGTTGAAAGCGTTCGCATAAAGAAAGCACACTAAGGTGCAAAAACAGGGCCCTAGGGTGTGTGGGGCCTTGGGCATATTAAATTCAGTGGGGCTTTTAACGTTATATACCTCGGCTTATATGGTATATTTTGAGACGTTATAGTCATACTTAAGTCCTAATTCTAATTAGGGGACACCTCATCAAAAGTATTTATCATATGTAGCTGTAACAGGTGAAAGGCCCTGAGCCTAAGTATTCATCGATTGTCATTAATCTCATGCTTTTAAAAAAAAACAAAAAACAACACTCCCTGTGAAATACAAAGCTGCATGAAAAATAATCTCTTAAAGAGACTAAATTATGTAAAGAAAATAACAAATATTCATAATAATTTTCGAACAGTATTCGGGTGAGAGTTAGATTAGAAAATATAGCGATCGCTGTATCTGGAAAATTAATTCTTCAGCTGCACAAGTAAAGGAAGACACTGGAATGCTGTTTGCAGGGATAGTATGGGGAAAAGACAGTCTGATCATTTGATTATCTCGAACCTCCTAACATTGTGTTAAATGAAAAACTATGGATAGGCAAGCCTTGGAATGGTTTTAACATATAATATTTTGATGGCTACTCGTTGGACCCCCAAAAGCGCGTGCCCCTGAGCGGTCACCCCGTTCTCCAACTCTTAGAGTCGGCTCTTGTCTCGGGTAATAGGTATTGTGGTGCAATAGATTTCAAACGAGTAAATTAAGTTGCATGTAATAAGATATAAATCGTGGGGAAATAAATAGGCGAGATAAATGGTTTATAAACATCCTTTCGGCCGATTCCCCTAGGCAACGTAAACCCATCCCGAGCACAATCCCACCCCACCCCCTGTGCTACCCCAACACATTCTTCAGGACAGTAGCTAGCAAAACTCTATAATGAAGATTACAACACAATAAAATGTATCAGAGTTTATATAAATGAACTTTAAATTAAGTAACAATCATCCTACTTTAATTAAATTCAGTAATACATAGATTAGCCTACTCCATTAATATCACATCATTTTCCCATTAGTATTATGCTTCGGCTTCTAGAAAGTGTAACTTACAACTACATCGCTCAATAATGCTTACTGAACGATTTGGATGGCTTCAGTAAAGTAGCGAGATTTCTTCATTGTCAGATTTACCGTGAGTTAAAAACATTCAAAAATTAAAAGTATCAGAGATATTTTGTTCTATTTATTTGTATTTGGAGTTTCTTTACCATTTTTAACTGTGCATAATAATGACATAAACATTACTTCTGATCTCCTAAGCTTTGAATCAGCTTTTCATGAAAATAAACAAATGCATCTATAGCTAAAAAATATTTAACCCCCCCCCCCCACTAAACAATGCAATTAATGAGATTCCTAAAATTGCACATGTACAATTTTTATGTAAAATAAAGATATGGGGAGAATTTATTTAGCGGATTTTCATGAAAAAAAACAAATGCATCTAAAGCTAAAAAATATTTAACCCCCCCCCCCCACTAAACAATGCAATTAATGAGATTCCTAAAATTGCACATGTACAATTTTTATGTAAAATAAAGATATGGGGAGAATTTATTTAGCGGTAGCATCACCTTGAAGGGTGAACAGCATAGGATGACACAATCCAAAGAGTGAGAAAAAAAAAGGAAATTGGAAATTGGACAATGTTCTCTCAAATCCGTTTCAAATCAGCAACCACTAATTTTATGCAGCAGAGTGCCAACAGATCAGTGTATCACAAAATCAAGTTGCCACCATAACATATTGCCTTACTGTCATCAGATAGTCAAGGGACAGCGCACGTTATCGCCATAGTTGTTCGTCATCATAACAGATTGCCACCAATGTTCCCTTTAAGCTCTCACAGACGCCACGCAGCAGTTTTGAGTTTCGGCGCAGCAGTTTTGAGTATCCGCGCAGCAGTTTTGAGTTTCCGCGTAGCAGTTTTGAGTATCCGCGAAGCAGTTTTGAGTTTCCGCGATGCAGTTTTGAGTATCCGCGAAGCAGTTTTGAGTATTCGCGCAGCAGTTTTGAGTTTCCGCGCAGCAGTTTTGAGTATCCGCGCAGCAGTTTTGCGTATCCGCGCAGCAGTTTTGAGTATCCGCGCAGCAAATGTCCGAGTGTGTGTTTTTGAGCTGTAAAATTTTGCACAAAAAAAAATTGACGTTGTAAAACTTTGCACACAACTTTATGATTTTGCACACGAACCAGAAAACCTTAGAGGGAACATTTGGTTGCTACCAGAGCAGGGTATCACCTTAGTAGGTTACAATAAAAAGGGTCTGTTATGTACCGCTATATGGTTTTCAATCAGTTTTAGATTTGACTCACTTAGATGAAGAGTACGTAACAAGGGACGGAAAAACTGTCTACACAGGAAAAACTATACGAAACCTAGTAAAATCTCTCTCAGGTAGGAAAGCTGAAAGGACGTTACAAAGGGAGGAAATTAGAACTTTCCGTTAAAGAAATTCTACAAACTGCTTCGATAAAAGATGTAAAAAAAGATGCAGCATGTTATAAACTAATACTTAATGATATTTAAAACAATCAAGGCTTGTCTACAGCTTTAAAATATTTTCTAAGCAGCCATTGTAATTTAGGAAAATTCTACTTTCTCAGAAACAAAGTTCGTCGACCTCTTGAGTGTGTGTAGATTTAGATTTGGACCCAGCCTGTGCCATTTTTGCCACAGAATCAACATAGAGAGGTAAGTGTATGTAAGGCGTGTGAATGAAGAAGCCTTATGGTGATTCAAGCGGTGAATTTTGAGTATACCTCAATTCATTGTTTCTGTTGATCGGGGCAACATATTATTTAAACGTCTCTGTTGGCATTACGATGCCCAGTGCCACACATAAATTGAATTCACCTCAGTTGTGATACGACCTTGTGTAATCGTTTGGCAAGTCCTTAGATTCAACAATGTACTGTTACACTGATTAACGTCAGGGTAGAGGAGTGCAGAAATTGAGGGCGTCAAAGCCCCTCGAACAATTTCGAAATGAAAGGATTCATTTTGGCGCATCCTTGAATTCTGATTTTTTTCCCCGACTATTTTGTGGGGGCATTTCAGACTTTCGGGAGGGAAGTGCCACAAATAGTTAAAATACTGATTAAGGATATCTCTAACTCTGCCCCAGCCCAATATGAATTTTATTTATCCCTGTTGTGGCGCCTTTGACGGTATGCTTATTGCAATAGGTTACTCTCGTCCCTTACTTCATTTTATAAAGTATTTTGAAAAAAAATAAAATCGAAACGTAAGAATTCACTTTATAACATAACCGTATTTAGCTTTGGACATAATACACTTAATTAGAAAGCAGCGGAAGAGATCCTACATAAAAATGTAGTTGTAGTTGCCGGTGTACTATCCAGAAGTTCAGTGTGTACGCCATTGTCAGTTACTTACATCAACAACCATTGAGGCGTTGGTTTATTGTTGCACGTTGACAGGACTTAATTATGATCGGGGAGGACATTGAGACTGGGTAGCGCGCCTTGGTTAGAAGTTTGGGAGGAGCGAGCGGGTATATCAATAGCGACACCAAATTTGGGAATTTCACTGACCGCTACAGCCCACACAGGAGATTTCGCTCGAGAGTTTGAGTAGATTTAGATTTGGACACACCTTGTGGCAGTTTTGTCACAGAATCCACTAGAGATGTAAGTGAATAATAGCGTGGAAATGAAGAAGCTTTATGGTAGTTCGTGTGATTGATAGTTACGTTAGGTAGACGTTCCGTAGTTCGGAAGACTACGGTAAGTAGGTAGCTAGGGCCTAGTGTAGATCACATGGTGTGGGTAATGTCTTCCCATATTTCAGGACTAATCACCCCTTTTATTGTTATTGACACTAGTAAGATAAATAATCACAACGACGAGGCGCATATATCCTTGGATAATTCTCAATTATCTTTTATCGTACCTAAGTGTATTTATTGTATATCGCATGTTATTATACTTATTATATGTGATAATAACTTATCTTTAGTCACTTTAAGTTAAATTGAAGACTTCTTTTGTTGTACGTTTTTGTGGATTCTTGGGCACATAGAAAAACAGGATGGTGTCAGGGTTATTTTAGAAATTAGACTAAGTGTCACAGCATAAGGGAGCTCTAGACAAATTGGTGTCGAAGTGCGATGGTACAGCAATTGTTAATTTAATGAAGTAAATTTGTATTGCATACTTTTAATTCAGATTGTACTTAGTCGTATCTAGCTTATTGCATATATTGAACCTCACGGTTCAAGATCCATATCCTGTAATCATCACTGTTATTGTTTTATTTTACTTTAGATTCATATCTATCTTCAGATTATTTTATTGTAATATGGAATATTTGAAAGCACCCATCGCAGACAAAAAGAAAGATGTTAGCAAAGCTGAGTTTTTTCCGATGGGTAAACTGATACTGATGATGGAATTTGAGGAACGACACAAAGTAGCCGAAAGGAAAGAAAGAAAACGACTAGCCAAAATGGAAGAAAGACAACGACTAGCCGAAATGGAAGAAAGACTAAGACAAGCCAAAAGAGAAAGTAAGGTACGTTAATTACAGTTACAGCTTGAAATCGATGTAAGTAGACATAATGGAGTGTCAGAAAAGATGGACGCGTCCAAATGAAGTCAGAACAATAGGGGCTTTAACGGGGAGGGTTACGATGAAAATAGGCTTATTGAAGTAAGAAGGGACCACACATACCTCCGTTTTACGACACAAAAGAAGATGTAGGCAGTTATCTCAGGAGAATCGAGCGTTTAGCAAAATATAAAAATTGGCCTGAAGCACAAGGGGGAAACTTTATAAGTTCACTATTGACAGGTAGAGCTTTAGAAGTATAAATTGGACTTGACGAAGAACAAAGCATGACCTAACAGACAGTTAAGGGTTAGCTTTCAAGAAACATTTACTAACAGCTGAGGGGTATAGGAAGAAGTTTAGGGAGAAAAAGTTAGAGAAAGACGAAAGTATGCTCAGCTAGTTGTTAGGATACAAATATACTTAGATAGGTAGATAGATTTCTCAGATTCAGAGAAGACGGTAAGTGGCATGACTGATTTGTTTGTAAAAGAACAGCTTCTGAATGTTGTCAGTGACAATCTTAGGATCTTCCTGAAGGATTTAGTAGAGATGGCGGACTTGTACAGTCAGGTTCATCAGAGTGGATGGGACCACGATTTCTCACTAGACAGAAGACACAAACAAATGTAGGACAAGGAAAGAACATTTTTTGTAACACTTGCAATGCTCCAAGGCATTTAAGCAAGTATTGTAGAAAAGAAAAGAGTGGTGGTCAGTGGAGCTCTCGTGGAAAGGATAAACGTGGTTGTTTTGTTTGCGGGGGACACAACCATATCGCAAAGTTTTGTCCCAAGAACCGACTAGGTGCAGCAGCCGTGAAGACGAACAAAGAGATCACCGCAGTGACACGCACTGGTGACAATGTGGTAGTAGGGCGTGGCCAAGGCGGTGAAACCTTAGCCATAGGCACCGTGAAACCAGATATCATTTGTCTGGAGGGCTACACGGTTACAAGTACCGTAAACAGGGTGAGAAACGTAAAGGTTCTCCGAGATTCGAGGTGTAGTTTGGCTTTAGTGGCTAGTAGGTCAATGACCAAGGAATGTTATAGGGGGACATTAAGAAGTATGCAGCGGGAAACTGAATGCAGTTTGTAGCCCCTACTGCAAAATTTAATGTTGACACACCGTATTTCAGGGACCAAGTTGAGGCTCTGGTGGTGGAGACACCTTTGGTGTACCCGATGATAGGAAACCTTGGGGGGGGGTGGGTTAGACCACGTGAAAGAAGAGGTTGGTGTTTTGATGACGCGCTCAACTCAAAGAAGAGCGGAAGAGAAGGAACAAACTGAGGAGGGACAAGTAACCCAGGGTTTAGCCTCAAATATGAATGAGAAAAAGGCGGATCTATGTTTAACATAGCAACCAAGTGAACAAGGGATATAAGAATGGCACAAGTGGAAGATGTCTCGTTGACCCGCATGATTAAGAGGGCCAGTAGTAAAAGTGAGGAGAGTGACAGCTGGCTGATCAAAGAAAACGACATGATGTACCGGATCTAGAATGGCAAGCATGGAAAACCTAACATCATACAACTGTTAGTGCCCTCTCCGTGTGGCCATTTGACAGTGTGTGAATAGATTCCAATACAGAGCAACGACGAGGCGCAAGAGGCGAAGACAGTCCTTGACCATAGACTGACCATTGCAGGGTAGAAAGGCGACAGTTATACAAGACTCCACTATATGAAGGGTAGCGTGTTATCGGAATGTTAAATATGTCGAATTGCCTGTATTTTGTCTCACTTGTACACTGTATATGTTCTCTGAGTAATTTATAGTTACATGCCAGCAATCAGTAATTGTAATAGTGTATCTTCTAGGATAATTCTCAATTATATTTCATCATACCTCAAAGTATATTCATTGATTATCTCATGTTATTTTAATAAGTATATTATATACGACAAAAGGGAGATATGATTTAATAACGTTCGGATTCCTTAAAACAATCATAGTTATTTTCTATTATTTTACGGAAATCGAATAAATTTAAATGCGCAAAAAATATTTTAAATCCGCTTTTATTTTAGTAAACGTTTAAGTATTATTATTATAAATCACAAATACATTTAAATTATCAACTTAGGAACTATTTAAAGCATTTTATGTGTTTAAAAGTTATGAAAAAAAAAAATGTAAAAAAATCATGATCAAAGAATTACACCGTAATCACATTTATCGGGAAAACCCAAGCATCAGTCTTTTTCGTGCGTTTTTAATGCGTTTTTTAATATTGTGAAATAAAATGTTAAATTAATTTGTTCTAAATAATCACTCAAGTGACGTCATAGTACGCATAGCCTATTTCTCCAAAACTCTTAGGTTTCTTTAAATTTAATAACCATGCGTGACAAAATTGATAATGCATTTTTCCTTCTTAAAAGTAAAATTAATAAGTACATTTGATTGCTTTTTAAATTGTTAATAAAAGATACACAAATTTCAGCTGTGTATATTTTAACATTTAAAAAGTTTTGCCTTTTAAAATTAAAACATAAACCTTAATTAAAATTATAACGTAAAAATAAATTTTATTTGAAAAACACGCTTCATCCCCAAAAGCTTGAAACGCGGTTCAAAGTCAACTATAGTAAAAAGAGAAATAAAAAACAATCAAAAATTTACCACATTTAAAAACAGACGCAACAATATAAAACTACATACGAGTATACGAAATCAAAGTCTTCAATCCCATTTCAACGATAAGCTACACAAGCTAATAGACCTTAACTGAAAAAAGATGGTAGATAGCATTACCCCAGAAGGTGTTTGTGAAATAGATGTGTTTTTAAATCGGTTTTAAAGGACTCCAGTGTCTGGCTGTTTCTGAGAGCGACAGGAAGGGCGTTCCAAATTGTTGGGCCGGCAAATGCAAAAGTGCGCTTTCGGTGAGGCTCAAGGCGAACACAGGGTATCGATATTTTGCCACTATCGGATGAGCGGAACTGTCTAGTGAGTACATAAGGCGTCATGAGTGCTTTGAGATAAGACGGCGCCAGGTCATGTAAGCAGTGGTAGCACAAAGTTGAATTTTTTTACTGTACGCAAGCGCGGACTGGAAGCTAGTGCAGCTCTCTCAGAAGTGTTTTAGCATGGTCGAATTTGCGTTTTCAAAGAGCAATGCGAGCCGCATTATTCTGTGCTCTTTGAATTTTATCCAGGAGCGTAGCTGGGAGACCCACCATGTGAGCATTGCAGTAGTCCATGCGTGGTAACACAAATGCAGACATATGCCACTTTGATGCATCTAACGTTATGAAAGGTCTGATATGACTAATCCTGCGCAGCTCTAGGAAAATCGCCTTGCAAAGCATGTTAATGTGATTTTTCCATAGTTAGTGTTCTGTCGAAATAGACACCCAGGTTTAGCACTGTTTGAGCAAACTCAATCTGCGTACCTTAGAGAGTAAGTGATGTTGTGTTTTTTTTACAGATTTTTGTTTCTGAGCAGTGGCAATGCGGATCATCTCAGTCTTTTCATCATTCAATTTGAGCTTGTTTATGGTCATTCAATGCTTAACTGACTCCACTGTCTTCTGTGTCGTGCTAAAGAAGTTGAGGGAACTGAGAGGGGATCACGGATTGATGAAGTTGTGTATCGTCCGCGAACATGTGATGCAGCATGTTAAATTGCTTGATCACTGCACACAGTGGCTGAACGTACATAGTGAAAAGCACCGGGCCTCGGACCGAGCCCTGGGGTACTCCGAATTAATTTTATAGTTTGCTTCGAGGTCAAACCGTTAAAATAACTGACTGGACCCGATTTGTCACATACGAGTAAAACCATCATCTGTGAGACCGAACGTTTTTTGCAGACGCTGGAGCAGTATGCCATGGTCAAGCGTATCAAAAGCTGCCGATAAATCGAGTAAAGACAAAATGGATACCTGGCCCTCATCACAAGACAACCTTTAAATATAATTCTAATAAAAAGTTGCGGTTTAAGTCAAACAGTGCAGTGCAACGCCATAGCTAAAAAAGCATTGACCAATCCACTTATAACTAAAAGAAAAAAGAACGAACCATGTGAAGTGCAAATTATTTTAGTTTGGGTATGGAAGGGACTACAATCCGGTGGACGATTTTTCTAAATTTATTTAAATCTGGGTGGGGGAGGGGTTGGTTACTTTGCCCCAGGCAGCACAAGATACTTCTCAAAATAAAGGAATGAATTTGATGAATAATTAACCTTCTTGGGTACATACATTTCGGAGGTAGGAAATAGGATGTGCACATTTGCACGCGGATGACAATATGTTTAAATCCTATGCTATTACAATTGAGAAAAAAGAGATGTTACATTTTCTTTTTACAAATATGTCTATGTTCATTTTGCTCAAGGCAGCACAAGATACGTCTCAAAATAAAGTAATGATTTTGATAAATAATAAATTTTCTTGGGTAAATACAAGTCGGAGGTAAGAAATAATATGTGTACATTTTTACGTGGATGACAATATAGTTAACTCCTATGATATTATATTTGTGAGAAAAGAGATGTAACATCTCTTTTTACAAATATGGTATGTTCATTTTGCCCAAGGCTATATAAGATAAGTCTTAAAATAGAGGAATGAATTTGATAAATAGTTAACCTGCTAGGTTACATATCGGGGAAAGGAAAAAAGATGTGTACATTTTGACTTGAATCACTATATATTTAATCCCATGGTATTACATTTGTGAAAAAAGAGATTCACATTCTCGTATGTTTAAATACATGTTTACCAATTAAGAAAATCAATGGCGTTAACACATTGTGTGTACATTTATATAAGTCTACCCATGAATATCAAAACCCAAACGTTTTACACACTTCAAGTAATAATTTTGAAAAAAAGAGATGGGTTAATATTTAATTTACTTTCAAAAAAATTAAAATATTATATTTTTGTTTTTACTTTGCCAAAAGTAAAGAGTTGTGAATTTTTATGAGATTAACAATTTACATTTTTTAAAAGGCACT